TAGTCCCTCCCATCATATCTCCCGTTATTCAAATCCACATGCTGCCCAACCTCCTCATCATGATGCAGCGTAACGCTATTAAACTCCTCAAACGGATCCACGACATCCTTGCCCGGCGTCGACAGTCCGGAATCAAGGGGCACGCCCTTCGGCAGCCCATTCGCGCCCAGCGCATCCTGATTGCGTCCTGTGATATCGACGCTCTCGGATTCCTTGACGTTGCGGAAGTCGACGGTGTCGATCGCGCGCCCTTGGTGCGGGATCATGGGGGGCTTCATGTGACGGATAAGAGCCCATTGCGTGGTGCGGAAGAAGGGGTGGGTTTTGACGTCTGAGGCGCCGGCGCGGGCGCCGGGACGGCGGTGCTCGTCTTTGATGAGGAGCTTGCGGATAAGGGATTTGCAGAGGCTGGGGTGGGGGGTTAGTTGGATTGTTGTAGATGGTAAGAAGGGGTGGATTAGGGACTTACTTGGAAATTTGGGGGTTTCCGGACCCTTCAGGGAAGGGGACGTCGTCGCGCAGGATGTTGGCGAAGGTTGCGTTGCGGTTCTTGCCCTTGAAGGGCGTGGTGCCGTATAACATCTCGTAAACGAGGATGCCGAGGGTCCACCAGTCGACGGCGCTGGTGTGGCCGCATCCCTTGATGACTTCGGGGGCTATGTACTCTTCGGTGCCGACAAAGGAGTTAGTTCGGAAATTCGCGATGCAGGATTTCGTGTCGATGGTCGGTAGGGAGTTCGTGTTGGTTCCGTTACGGCCAATAATCATAGTCGGTTTTCCTCCTGGGTCCGACTGTTTTGATAGATCGAAATCTGACAACATAATGTGGCCTGACTGATGCAACAAGATGTCTGTAATTGGTTAATATAGCTCTCGCGTTTAACTGTAGATGAAATGCTTACTTTCTGGCTTCAGATCTCTGTAGATGAAGCCCATCAGATGTAGGTACTCCAACGCAGCTGTAACTTCTGCAGCATAAAACCTGGCATCATCTTCTGGTATACACTTTCCAGGGCGGGTCTGTAATGCTCTAAAGAACTCTCCACCACTGCAATATTCCATGCACAAGTATAAGTGATCCTCGGACTGGAACGAATGGTATAGCGTGACGATAAACGGATGGTTGCTCGTTGCAAGAATCTCTTGCTCGGCCAGAGCTCTCTTGATCTTATTCCTCTTGATCATTTCCTTCTTGCTCAAGACTGCCAGATGTTAGAAGTGTATCAGATCGATCATATAGAGGCACATACCCTTCATCGCATAGAGTCTCGAGCTCTTCTTCTCCCTCACCAGGTAAACCTTCCCCACATCTCCCTTCCCAATCAATTTGATTTTATCGAAACTGCTCGGTGAAACCTCCACATCCCGCACCTTGATCGAGTTGGAACTATACGTCCTCCTGAAAGCAGCCGGAGCCCTTGGTGGCTGCAACTCCCCCAGCTCATCGGCACCCGGTACGGCAAGATTGACAGCCGATTTACCCTCAATTCCCAGTCCCTGAATCGGCTCCTTGCCCAACTCCGCTGTATTCGGCCTCTCTGCACTCCCCTTGCCTTTTGAGAACAGTCCCTGCGCATTCGGCGCACTGGCAACCCTCCTCAATTTCCTCGCCAACTCCTCTTTCCCCGCAGCTGTGGCCTGATCATTCGCTCCCGATGCAGCACTTATGTGTAACGCAGGCGTGCCAGTCGGACTACTCGGTACGGATCCCTCATTGTGATGTCTGAAGTTTGGCATACCCTGGTGTTGAAAGTAAGGGTTCGCATGGGCGGTGGGGCTGACGCCATCGTCCAGCGGGTGGCCCTCGCTCGCAACGGTCGCTGATCGATTGCGTCCGCTGAAGAACTTGGACTGGCGGAAACTCTTGCCTTCCTGCTTCGGGACATCTTTGGCACCTTCGGTCTTGTCGGACCCTAGCGAATTGATTCGAAAGAAGTTCTTGAGTTTAGTCGGAAAGTGGCTGTTGCCGTTGACGTTCTTGTCGGCCGTCTTGTCGCTCTTGCTTGAGGACATGGGGAGGCCAGAGAAGGTCCGCTTCTCGTTCGGTGGAGACCCCGGTGTCGACGTGTTGAAGTGTAGGAGGGCGGTCATCACCAAAGAGTATCTGCAGCCGAGTTGAATGCTGCGTTACTCTATGGTGGTGGTGAGGTTGGAGAGGGGATTTTCGGTGGAATGGTCGTCGTTCGTTATGTTTCAATGGGGAGGATGGTTGGTTGATAATCAGGCCCCGGCTTCTTGGTCCCGGCGCTGGGGAAGGCGGGTGGGGCGGATATGTATTCCAAGGTGGCGCAGAGGAGACGGATTGGGGGGGAGAAATACGGAGGACAGCGCTGACATTTACCAGCCAGTTAACTGTGTCGCTATTTTGAGATTATGGTACAATATGTATCATTACGAGTCCAGTGGCAATGGGTAATACAGGTACGATAGGTCGGAGTTTGGGGTTTTTTTGGTGATAAATTTGTACGGAGTATGGGGTTTCTGTAGAGATACATAGACATACGTACAATACGTACGAATAGGGTGAATTCGATAGTGCGGAGTAGGAGGAATCTAGGAATCTACGTACCAGCCACGCCATTCTACGGCTCTACAACGGTATAACTCTACAAACACTACAAAAACTCTACAAACAATAAATGGAACCTGTTCAATACGATATTTGGGTATGCTGAGTAATCGCGGCTGACCGTCAACTAACATCCAACGATATTCAGCCAGTACCTCCTAAATGAATCAGGTAGTTTCCAACACCGAATAAGCACAATTTAGATGACTCTCTACGTGCTTATCTCTACGTGCTGATCTCTACGAGTTGCCGTGATGAGAACGCAAAAAGAACAGTAACTAAGCGTCTATGTCATATGAATAGTCCCTAAACCCATAAACCCAGCCAAAATGTCAACGAGGGTCCTCCATTGGCTAGACCACCTCCTCGTGTCTCAACCGCACGCATCAAGTGATAGATAGTGGCAGAACAAAGCACAACCTTAAAAACAAATCCCTAACGACGCTTTAAAACCGAACCTCCGATGAAATCACCCTCAAAAACTAAAGTATCACTGTCCATCCGTCCGTCTCACAAAACCCAATCCAGCAGGTCCCTTCGGTCCCTCATCAACGACGCAGCAGCACTAGTCGATGCCCCAATCGCCCCATCCAAGCTCCCCGTCGCGAACTCAGTCTCAATGTTCTGACCAAAGGCATCGCTGTTATTATGCACTACCAGTAACCCGTCTTCCAGTTCCTCTCCAGGTTCATACCGGCCCTTTGGGCCCCTAAACAGCTTCGCCTTCGGTAACACAATAACGTGGCGCTGAGTCCGTAGTGCCTCTTTCAGCAGCTCAATCGCACCGTTATCAGAGTAGTCGTTGAACGCAAAGCACTTCATATTAGCAAACTTCTCATACTTGCTCGTAGAGGCCAAGTGCTTGAGTGCAGCGAACTGGAGTCTATTAACGATCTTAGCCCCTCCGAGAGCCTGGACGAAGATAGATGGCGGGTCAGAGGTGTAAATATAACCTTGAGGGCAGGCGACTTCAAGGGCGGATAACTCATTTCGGAGCTGGTGCACAGCCGTATTGTAGAGAAACTCCAGCGATACGACAGTCTTCTTCAAAGACCCAACCGCCGCAAACACATTCTGGAAATCCACCGATGACGAATACCCATCCCGAATATGGCGTTCGAGGAACTCAATCGTTGCGGCATCGCTGAGAGCCTTATCCTTCACCACCTTATAAGGGGGCAGCTTCTTCGAAGTGACCAGGTTAGCCACCAAGTGGCTCTTAAGCCCATCCTCGTACTTCTCTAACCCCCTCCTCTCCCACTTATCCTGATCTCCCAAAATCCTCCAGTCAGGCCCCAACTCCCGCCCTACGACCTCCCGACCCCCACCCGACAGGCCTCCATCATCACACTATTAAACTCGAAATCCATCTGCACCGCCGCACTAACCACCACCCTCCCCGCGGACGGTCCTCCGTCCTCCAGCGGGAACTCCTCCACATAGTGACCGCCCAGGTAGCGATAATCCCCATGCATCAACGCCACCACAAGCGGCGTGACGAAAGTGTGCAGCACCCCCTCCATATTGGTGATGACGCCCTTCCGGCCGGGGGCGAACTTGATAGCGAGTGCGCTATCATTCTTGCGGCGCATGAGGTGAGCGATTAGAGAGTGCGGGACGAAGGGTGAGGCGCTGATGATGGGCGCGGGGCTGGTGAGAGGCGTGTTGAGATAGTACGCTCGGGGGTCGCTGCCGAGGAGGGGGAGGACGCGGGTGAGGTGGAGGGGGTAGGAGGAGCCTGTGAAGCGCAGGAAGGCGAGGGGGGCTGCTTGAGGGTTGAGGGCGTGAGGGATGGGGGTGGGTGTTTGGAACTCATGGTGGCTTTTGGAGTGGCTGGGTTGGATGGGATTATTGTGGGTAGCTGGGCGACGTCTGGTGATTGTGAGTGACTGGGCTAGATATGATGAATGCGAGTAACTAGGTCAGATGTGATGGTTATAAGTGACTGAGCTAGATGCAATGACTGTGAGTAACTAATGATCGTGAGTGACTGCGTCAAAAAGCCACTGCGTCAGAAACCTTCATCAGCCTCACTCATGAGGGATGATGCGGTGGGAGCCTAGCCCCGCGTAAGACGACATGGGGATCCTCCACATAAGTAATGGCGACAAGATTCAGGAATGGGCATGTAACAAAATAGTTATTGAATACTTGATATTCCTGTATATTATTTGGAAATTGAAAAATCAAAGGACTTCCCGTAATCAATAGATGGCGGGAGAGTTGCTAATATCCGAACACTGCATTCTGAGCAATTAACAATCCCACCACGGTACCCCGCACAAACACCGTGTCGACGACAACATCAACACAACAAGCTCGCAATATCCAAACGTGCTCTAGATTGGCAGAAAGCTTGTCCGAAGAACTTCCGATGACCTCCGTGCAATTAAACGCTCGGAATAAATGACAAAAAAAAATACAAAAAATACGACACCTGAGTGATTCGAACACTCGCTCCCGAAGGAAATGCCTGACTTCCACGTGATGTAGATAGCAGGGCATCGCGTTAACCACTCCGCCAAAGTGCCGGATTTATTTCACGAATGGCCGGCCCAACGATGAACTTTAAAATCCATAGGTAGACCGCCCATTTTATCAAATGGCTCAGTTACGGTTGGGGCCCAAATAGTTACGCGGCGCCGATAGATATGACGTCAGAGTTTAGAAGCTTGAGTGACTTGACAAGCGGTAAAGACCCTGGCTCCACCAGTAACGTGGCCAATCCCCAACTTTAGTTCCAGCCCCTGTTCTAGACTAGACCCCTGGTTCAACCCCGCACTCCGCGTCAATGGCCAAAAGCACGACATTGTGCCACCATCACGACATCGGCGTTTTTTCATGAGGTTTGGAATATGCAAGTCATAATGCCTCAGCGCGATGGGGGAGCGAAAGATCGGCAGACGCGCCTGCAATGGGTGCAAGATCCGCAAGGTCAAATGCTCAGAGGTCCCACCATGTAAAAGCTGCATTAGCGCTCGCATCGAATGCACCTTCACGGAGCGCCGGGGAAACCGTGGACCAAAAGCTTTGAGGCCAAAAACGCTGGTATCGATTGCTCAAACACAGCAGAAAGGCTATCCTAGTGTGGAAGATGAGGGTTCTTTCGCAGATGAGTCTCCGGAAAGTCGGATGGATGTTCCTGCTTCGCCGGGTCCCTCAATGTATGCTCCGCAAAGCCACTACTAAACGTCGCCGACTGATGGCATAGTGAACCGTCCATACCTCTCGAGGTTCCGCTTAAGACTCCGAGTTCGTCCCTTATAGTGCAACTATGTGTATATCGACTTCGTTTATACCCAATATGGCCGATCGTGGCGGTAGAAGAGATAATGGGGTCGTTGCAGGGAGACGTGCAAGACATGGAGACGTATGCTCTCGCAAACGCAATAGGGGCGGCAACTATTGCCCAGCTGAAGCTAAACCAGACGGGAATAAGCACAGCTACCGGAAGTTCAATGGCAGAAGAATGTCAGCGAACGAAGCTTATGGGTAAGAACGGACAGAGTGCAAACCTAAACATCCTGCGAATAGCGTTCTTTCTTCATATCTATTATGAAAACCAGGACCAGGGTGGAGTCAAGTCTCTGCTATTTTTGAGGGAAGCGATTACGATTGCGCAGATTATGGGGTTGCACCGAGAGTCATCCTATCTATCACTCCCTCCGTCAGAGCAACAGCTACGACGACGCATTCTTTGGTTGCTGTTTGTAACAGAAAGGTACCCTTTCTTGTTTCGTTTTTAGAATCAACCCTTTAACATTAAACAGGGGCGTAGGAATACTCTACAAACTTCCAGTTATCTTAAAACCTAATGTGCTCTTCCCAGCAATGGATGGCGACGACGAGACACAGATCCTGCCTGCTTTCCAGAAACTTGTGGATCTCTTCTGGACATTTGATCAGTCGCGTGCCTTCGAAATACTTGACTCGAGTGCAGACGTGTTCGAAACAGGCGACATGGAGTCAGCCCGCCAAAACTCTCTCTACGCTCTTCACAAAAAGCTACAAGAGGTCTCTCTTGACTGGGACTCTAGCAGCGAAGTCCAACGCGCCGATATATGTGTCACGCGTCAATGGATGCGTGCTGTTCTGTGGAAAGCATCAAATAATTATGAGAGGCTAAACAAAGGGAGCAGAATAACCTCTCTGGACCATCCAATTCAGATCGCGAGGGAGTTCCTGGGCTTTATATCGCAGCTTCCCAGTACAGCACTTGAAGCTCATGGACCAACTATGGTACGTGGACATGCCTATCACATATTTACCTTCGCTAATATTGAAATAGGAAACGAAAATTTACGAGATCGCAAGTACGGTGGCGGATGCAGTTGCCAACAATGACACAGTCTCGTGGATTTCGCCTTATCGGCCAATAGACATACTCGCCCAGCTTCAACGGATACTTGCGTCGATAAGGGGTGGAAACGAAGCACTTGAACGGATGCTGTATAGCAAGACAGCTTGCGTTCAGGGTAATCTGGTGATGCTCGTGGAACCAAGCTCTCTCATAGAGGACTTGGACGACGAATGGCTTGAGAATAATACGCTCTTTCCGAATGATCCATTCTATCTAAATTTAGGGCCTATTTCTACGGGAGACGCTGAAGCTGAAATGATGTCAGGCTAATCAGCCCGACGATGGATAGGTTCTATAAGTTACCGTCCTATATCGAAGACTCAACTCAAGAAATCAGCATTGTGGGACATGCTGGGCACATTCTCGGTTTATAGCGCACTAGTTTGAGTCATGACTAATGTTTATCTGACCCTTGTTCACCTTCAGCAGCCCACATTCCACGCACAACTCCTCGATTCACACAAGAGATCAGAGCTGCTGGCGCAACTGGCTCTGGAAACTATCTGGCCTCACTGTGCCGCAAAGCATGTTCAACGCCCAAACGCAGAACTTAGTCCAGGATCCAAGATTGCAGGCAACAGTCATGACCTCTTCGCCGGTGAAACAAGGCAAGCAGCTATTCATCATCCGTTGATGAGCCTCTGTAGGAAGTGGTACTGAGAAAAGAGCGCAGTGATCCCGAAGATAAACTCCTGCAAAGGCCTGACACAAGTTGAAACCGTCCAGCACGTTTATACTGGCTGTGGTGCTTCTGCCGTAGCATGTAGCTAGCTCTTCTTCAAAAATGAGAATAAGGACGAAGATTTGGGTTTCGTCTCAACAACTTCAAGGCTACCGATCTGTAGTTCTTCCCTGTGCTTATTCAAGATTGCATCTCTGTGATACTTCTGGAATTTCTTTGTGGCATCTTTGCCACTAACAGTTTGCATGACTAAACAGAATCAGCAGATGTTTTATCTGACTTTAGAAAATATGAGAGTCTTCATACCCTTTTTACCGCCTGGATGCGTGTCTTGGAATTTTGTCACGTCAAAGACGTCGTTGTTAATAATAATCCAAATGTCATCAGCCTTGTTATGCGATGCAACATCACTCTGAGAAAATACTTTGGACATGGTAGAATGCCGAGACTGATCTCGATGGGTCGAGAGGTATATCCGAATGTAGTGATATGCTGTGCTGGTGTAAGCACAAATTTAAAGACGGGGACATAGAATAAATATAGTATAAACAGGCATCGTTCCGCGGAGGAATCATTACGCGCGCATGTGCATGTTGGACCCTTTGTTGTCGAATCCTTCATTATACTTTGCCAAGTGTCACGTTGGCTCAACCCTTGCTCCCGGTTCATAATTTGTAGACATAGTATTATTTCAAAGCATAACCTCGGCAATCGCAGTCCAGGTAGAATTTGCCCAAATAAATAGAAATGCATTCCCAGATCCATTTCTCGATCAGTTATACACACGATGGAAAGATCAGGATTTCGTAATTTCGCTATGAAAGCTATGTACATACGCAGTTCGAACTGCGGGTATTTCCCATGGCCAACTCATTAAACCGGGTATCCAGCTTGACGACAAAACAAATTAAAATGCTATGGTTTCATGATTTAGAACCCGGCTATCGCGGTCAGATTCTGCAGGAGCGGAATGATATTGGTCACATTGTACCCAGATGCAAAAGGTATGGCTGTGCCACCGTTGCCACCTAACACTCCTGTCAAGCTGTCCATTAGAATGGACAACAATGGAAACTGTGTGGTCAACACGAGTGCATTCAGGACCTTCTCGTAATATTCGATGTGGTGACCATTGTAGATGGTCGAGTTTCCTGACGCCGACATTTCGATGTTTCCGCTTGTGAGAGCGCCCACCTGGGATGACAGAATCGCAGGTAGATTCATAATAGCCGTCTTGAGATTGACTACTCCTCGAGCTGAAACAGTGTTGTTTCCAGGAACAAGGTAAACATTTTTCATCGTGGCGTTTCCAAGGAGAATCCCGCCAACGATAATGTTCAGTGTCACATTCCCCTAGAAAAACGGTTACTCAAACGACGCGGCAGAGGGGAACAGGATGGCTTACAAGTTCAAAAGACACCAGAGATGCGTTAGGAATGGTTAGTTCGGCAATAAGGTTTGTTCCATCTGCCTCAGCAGGTAAGACAGCACGAGCACTCGCAATGCCAAAGCCCTTCAACTTGTTAAGACCTAATTAGGGTCTTAGCAAACTTTCATATTGTGCCACATTTCAAGGATTATGAATTGGGAGCTCTTACCTTTCAGTTCCACCTTTTTGTCGAGGCTGATATGTGCCTTGAGTTTGCCCACATAAGCATCTGTTGCGCCTGAAGCTGATAGAATGAAAGTTTCTTGATAAACCGCACTGTGCAAAAAGGTTCCGAATATTTCTTTGTCCAGAATATTGGTTGTCTGGTTTGTGACGGTTATAGTCGCATTACCCTTGAGATTTTGTTCTGGTAGCTGGACTGTGATGTACGGATTGCGGTTTGGTGGATTTTGATCCACGAACAAGTTGAGCGCAATGGGTTTGAGCTTGACTGTGAATGGTTTCGGAACCTTCAAGCCAGCGAAGAGGGAATACTGAACGCTATCTGGGGTTGGATTGGTGATGCTCGCTGAGTAAATGGGGAGAGAAGCATCGTCGACCATCCGCTGAGCAATCGCAGGGAACACGATCAGGAAACTGTTTCGTCGTTAGTTCTGGGTCATTTGTTAAAGGGCCGGAAGGAATATGTAGCCAGAGAAAGGTGAATATGCCCCATTGCCTCTGATGCAAAGATGGGAACGTCATAGAACTCACAATATTGGGAGGAAGATCGCCAAAAAGATAACACCACCAAGGCCATATAAGCACCAATGCCGCTTATAGTGAGCCCAGAATCTCGCAAAGCATCCCCGTTTCTTGGCAGGATGAGAATCCTCTTCCATCACACGGGCATTCTCAATCTGTTGAACGCTTCCCCTACTGGTCTTCTCTTTGCCAGAACGATGACCGGCAGTGAAGTCTGGTCGGCTGGCGCCAATGACATGACTAGGCTTCTTCTCAATCGAGCCTTCTCCAGTATTGCCCATTGTGGGAACTTTTCCAGCTTCAGACTGCAATCCAAAAGGCTCGTCTTAGCTTGAGACTACGATCCGGGAGCTCC